CCCCCCCCCCCCCGTCAGGGCTTTTGGCCCCCTGTCGGGCAGGTCCTGGCGCCAACACTGGGTCTGCCTAAATGGTAGCCACATCCTCTGGATGAAACTGGCTGGAATTCTTTTCTTACCATTTAACGGCTTCACTGATATGTGTATGGTTTCATTATTCTGGCCAACAGAACAGCAATAGATGCCTGCGTCTGATAAGCCAATCGTCGGGAACTGCATACGGCTTCGAAAACTATTAACGGTCACTTTTAACTGTAAGACGGATCAAAAATTAAAAAAATTAATAACCAGCAAGATAATAATTATAGATAATTATAAGAGGAAATTTTGTTTTGTTGTAATATTAGTTTTGCTTTTATTTTTTGGTAAAGTAAATTATTTATCTTTTATAAATAATTATTCCAAGATATTATTAGGCATGTTAGTTTTAATTTTTATTTTATCATTTTTCATTTAATGTGTCAATTTTATTATTTTTCATTTTGTTAATTTTTATATTTAATGTTTTGCTTAAATCATTAATTTTTGAAATATTTCCTTTTTTTTTTTTTTTTCTGTTTATGTTAAAGATCTTACATTTTTATTCTTTTGTTCTTAAATGTATGTACTGCGGGTCTGAGAGTACCATTTCCGGCCATCTAGGAGTGACATCGCTAATTTTCTTACCTCAGCCCCAACCACGGTGTTGCTGAGGTGTAAAATTGGGCGGTTAAGCCCCTTTTTCCCTCAGTTTTTAAATATTCAAAAATCTGTATCTCCTTCACCGTTCCCCAGTTTTTCATCTAGCAACTTCTTTCTGTCTTAGAAAAATCAATTCTACAACATATCAATATTTTTTTTATTCCGGAGCCTAAATCAAGCCATTGTTGCGCCATTTTATTTCTTGTCCAGATTTAATTATTACAAATACAATTTTTACCGTTCCATCGACTAACTTCGTCCAGGTTGGATCAGCAAGACTTTCTGGCACTATACAGTCCAAGTAAATACTGTCTTTTTCAACTGTTGATATCTCTCGACCATCGAGCCTTCCATTTGTGTTTATAACAAATTGATCATCTTCTGCGTGATATAAGATAATTATTATGGCTTTAAAGACACTCTATGGTAACATATAAATCAGGATAATTCAAATAAAACATCGAATTGTTTATTGAGAAAAAGTAAAATGTTGAACCAAATGAGATTAATATTTAAACAAATTTGGTTTTCGCCGATGTACTAACGTATAGCTTTTATGCGTCTGCTAATACGGCGATGAAACTATTTTTTTTAAATAATTTCCAATTAAATGCTATAACTTTGATTCTTTTAAAACACAAACGACTAGGATAAAACATTTACATTTCTTAAAAATATAACGATAGCAAAATTGCATTTACGGTTGGTGTTTATCTTGATCTCTTTCAAACCATAACCAATTACTGATCAACTTTCTTTTTCGTTTCCAAAGCTTCCCATTCTATACTTTGGTTAATCAATTGCATGCACTTACTTGGCAAACAGGTAGGAGGAGTTTCTGGAATCCACTTCCCATCTATGCATATGGCTGTTGTGTCCACAGAATCTAATTGATAACCTACGTTACACTGGAATGTCTGAATGATTTCATCTGCCTCTGGATTTGGGAAGGAAAGTTCACTGTTACCGTTAGACGGCGTCTCTAGTTGTGATCCTGAACACGTCTCTGGTAAAGATACGAGTTATAAACTAAACAGAATAGCGAATGTGTTGTAATGTTATGCACATGTTGTGTTCAGTTCAGGCAGAGACTATTGACTTCAAAACAACGAGGCAATTCAAAATTTGTCTATTATTTGTCCATTCACAGCAAGCTGACATGGCACCCCATGTCAAAAAGCTTAGATCTAAACTTTGATTTTCCATCTTACTTTTAGCACTTGCTAGCAAATTTCCTAATATTAAATCCAAACTTATGATTTATAACACTTTTGTTCTTCCACACATGACTGCTGCTGTAGCGTTTGAGGATACAAGGGCAACTCACTCATCGATAAAATTCAACCCCTAAAGAATCGTGCTCTTATTCTTAATGTTCATTCTTATACTTTATCTCTCCTTATTACTTCCCTTGATCTGTTAATTGTCTCAAATCGCATCCTACTCAAGTTGGACTGTCTAGCTTTCAAGGACACTACTGGTTTTGCCCCAGACTACCTTTGTAATTTATATTCAATTTTTCAGCGAGAAGGCACTAT